ATGACTTGCCGAGTCCAAGGCTAAAAATGGAAAATACTCAAATAAGATTTACATACCAGGAACCAGATGCTACAAATCTCCCCCACTTATTTTAGACTTCGTCCTCAAAGTCTGCTGCTCGATCCTGAAACAGCTCGGGATAATGCTCCATAATCTCGTCCACCGGCTCCCAAGTCCATTCCGAACCCTTACGGTGCTGCCATTGCACCTTCACTAGCTCCACCCTCTTGTTCCTCAAATCTTTCGACTTCCTGTCGAGGATTGCGACTGGGCGCTCAATGTAGTTCAGGCTGTCATCAACCTGAATATCCTCTAAAGGCACTACTGCTGAATTGTCCGCTAGGCACTTCCGCAGCTGAGAAACATGGAAAGTGTTGTGGATCTGGCTGAGCTCGACTGGCAAATCCAGTCTATACGCCACCTTGCCCACCCGGGCCACAACTTGGAACGATCCGATGAGACTCGGGCCTAACTTGCCTCGCTTCCTGAATCGAATGATGCCCTTCCAAGGCGACACCTTCAGGAGAACCATATCCCCGACTTGGAATTCCAAGTCGGATCGATGCTTGTCGGCATAACTTTTCTTCCAACTCTAAGTAGTCTGAAGCCTGCTCTGAACCTGTTGGATCCTCTCGGTCGTCTTGAGCACCACTTCGGTGCTCCCCATGACTCTCTGGCCTCCCTCACCCCAGCATATCAGGGTCCTGCACCTCCGACCGTACAACATCTCTAATGGGGGATGGTCAATACTCGCGTGGTAGTTGTTGTTGTATGAGAACTCGGCCAAGGGAAGATAGGTATCCCAGCTACCACCGAAATCCAACACGCATGCCCGTAACATATCCTCCAAAGTCTGGATGGTCCGCTCGCTCTGACCATCCGTCTGCGGGTGAAAAGCGGTGCTAAAATGCAAACGAGTGCCCAACTCGTCATGGAATCTCTTCCAAAACCTGGAAGTAAAACGCACGTCCCTGTCCGAGATGACCGACACTGGCACCCCGTGCCGTGCCACGATCTCCCTTATATAGATGTCGGCCGATATGCCCTCCTGAATCGGGATAAAGTGAGCACTCTTGGTCAATCGATCCACGATGACCCGAATCAAATCCACTCCACGCGCGGTCCTGAGAAGCTTCGTGATAAAATCCATTGTGATATCTTCCCATTTCCACAACGGGATGTCCAACGGCTGCATCTTGCCATACGGTCTCTGATGTTCGGCCTTGACCTTCCTGCAGGTCAAGCACCGCTCGACGTACCACTCCACATCCCGCTTCATGCAGGGTCACCAATAATCTGGACGAAGATCCCTATACATCTTCGTCGCCCCGGGATGAATAGAGATCCGGGACTTGTGCACCTCCTCCATCAAGATCTGGCGCACGCCTCCGTGATACGGTACCCACACCCTACGGTGTAGTGTCAATAGTCCTCGTCTATCATAATCAAAGGAGGAAACCTGACCCACCACACGCTCGCTCTTCCGATGTTCCTCCTTGATAACCTCCTGTTGGGCCTCCCAAATCTGCTCCAACAGGGGAGTCACTACTGTCATCCTCATACAAATATCCCTGATCGGCTCCGCCTTGCGGCTAAGTGCATCGGCCACCACGCTGGCCTTCCCTGGGTGGTAAAGGATCTTGCAATCATGATCCTTCACCACGTCCAACCACCGACGTTGCCTCATGTTCAGGTTCGGCTTATCCATGAGGTACCTCAAACTCTTGTGGTCCGTGTAGATGGTACATCAAACCCCGTAGAGGTAATGTCGCCAAATCTTGAGGGCAAAAACCACCGCCCCCAACTCCAAATAATACGTCGGGTAGTTTGCCTCGTGAGGCTTGAGCTGCCTCGAAGCGTAGGCAATGACATGCCCCCTCTGCATCAGTACCGCGCCCAACCCTGAAATGGATGCGTCACAATAGACCACAAAATCCTCTATGCCCTCCGGCAGGGCTAAGATTGGTGCCTCACACAATTTCCGTCTCAGCGTCTCAAATGCAGCCTACTGCTCGGGTCCCCAACGAAAGACTACAGCTTTCTTCGTCAGCCGTGTCAGGGGTACGACTATCTTGGAGAAATCTTGAATAAATCTCCGATAGTAGCCTACCAATCCTAGGAAACTCCGAATCTCAGATGGAGACTTCGGAACCTCCCATCTCATCACAGCCTCGACCTTGGCCGGATCGACCAGAATCCCGTTCTGGTTGACAAGGTGTCCGAGAAATTGCACCTCGCGCAACCAAAACTCACACTTGGAGAACTTGGCATACAAGCTCTCTCTCCTCAGGGTCTCCAATACCTCTCGCAGATGCTCCTCATTCTCCTCCTGGGTCTTGGAATAAACCAAGATGTCATCAATGAAGACTATCACAGACCGATCCAGCATCGGTCTACATACGTGGTTCATGAGATCCATGAACGTGGCAGGAGCATTGGTGAGCCCAAACGGCATCAACACGAACTCATAATGGCCATAGCGCGTCCGAAACGCGGTCGTCTGCGCATCCTTCTCCCTGACCCTCATCTGATGATAACCCTAACGCAAATCAATCTTGGAGAACCAAGATGCTCCCTGAAGTTGGTTAAAGAGGTCATCAATCCTCGGGAGTGGGTAAGGTTCCAAATCCCTAGGGCATGTTTATCATGTAAAGTTGCAAACTTTATGTGCATGCAAGGCTCTAGAGGATCTAAATGACAAATCCAAGCTTGCAATGGTTTCAACTCATAAGGAAGGTTTCATACATGACAAAGCTAAAAGCTTTATGAACCTAGAACCCAAGGAGAATTCAGATCTGAAGTTGCAACTTCAGATCTAGCTCATACACAACAATAACTTCATAACCCAGCCAAAAAGCCCTAAACTTCACCCATATGAGATCTAGAAAGAAATGAGGCCAAGATCATTACTTGATACCTCAAATGAAGCTAACTGAGGTAGATTTTGAAGATCCACACGAGACCCTTGTTGCTAGCTACTTGACCTTCAAGCTCCCTTCACAATATCCACCCTCCAAAGGTAAAACACACACATAAATGAAGCTCTTACATGAAATAGGGTCTTTTGGACTCTCAAGAGGCTGCAAGGGGGCTAAAGGAGGTTTATGATCCTTTAAATAGGGTGCAAAACCCTGAAAATTAGAGTTTCATCCTCCAGCTCCTACTCGTCGAGTCCCTTCTTGGACTCGAAGAGTAAGTCACTTAAATGCGTGGACCAACCCGCTGCTACTCGACGAGTCAGGGCAACCAACTCGTCGAGTAGACCTTGAAATCATGAAGAATCAAAGTCATAAATTAATATCTGGGAATCGGGGCGTTACAACCATAGGGCCACCATTTAACCAATGGCCACCATTGCACCAACAAGTCACCATCAGTTCATGGTGGTTGAGTTGAGTGTCTCTTTCAACTCTTGTATCAATGTATTAAGTGCTTAAGAGGTTTGGATTGAAAGCTAAACCCTAAGTTCTAGTTTGATGTTTATGAAAACTGTGTTGTTATGTTGATATCAAGGCAAACACTTAATCTGTTAAGATACCCTTGTTATACCTCTCAATATGGGTTTGACTTAATTCATTAAGTTCTTACTGTGTGGGACAAAAAGATGGTTGTACAACATAACCTTGTTATTCAATTTTTTGTATCACGACTACTTAACGTATGGTACTACCAACTAAACATGTTGGTCACCAAAGATATTTATATCAACTTTGTTGGTTCAATTAGTAATATGTTTGTTGGTTTCATTTGATACAAATTTGTCAATCCTAGCGCGTATAATCAAGTAACACCCATATAAAAATACAAAAGAGCTATTTAACTAGGATACAGTTTTATGACGCATAATTTTGCATTTTGAGTGCCTATATATCCATTAGCCCATGGATCCTTGTCACTTTTATACTATTATTGTTACTGTTACCCTTGAATTTGGATGTGAAATTCTTGGTTATAAGATCAAAGTTGAATTGGTTCTACAACTCTGACGCCGTGCAACTCCGGTAAGGTGGTTGGTAGTTATGGCGGCGGGAGAAAGGCTAGTAGCATCTAACAACGAGCCCAAGGATGGGAAGTGGGGTGGGGTAAGTGAAGCATAATTATTTAATAATTAAAGTAATTATAATAAGAAGAAAGTACAAAATACAAAAAGGACAACAAGGAAATTTTATCTTATACATACTTAACGAAGGCACATTGAAGTTTTTGTCCATAAATAGGGTAACTAGAAAAAAACCTATTTCCCATTTTAGTGTGGTTTCAAAAGTACTTACCATATTAGTATTATTCTAATTTAAAAACTAATATTCTTGTTAAAGAAAAAAACACGTTATTTTGATTCCTAGCCCCTTGGAACGAAGCAGTGAATAGAACGAAACAAAAAAAAAAGGCGAAAAATCATCTAGGGCTCCACTGTCACTCCTTCGTTGCAGCCTCCTCCGCCCACTGCCGGACACCTGCGGCCTCCTCCTCCCATCGCCGACACCTGCGGCCTCCTCTACCGGTCACAGGTTCATCTCCAACACGGAAACTTAAAGGTACCAAAAACATAAAGCTTTTCTGATTCTTCCGGTTTCAATCCAATTCAGATTCTTCTACATTATCCGATTATGATTCTTCTCGTTTCCAATTTATATGCATTGTTGACCAATTTTTCTTCTGTTTATTTTTTGTAGATGGATTTTTTCACAACTGTGTTTTTATCTTTTTGTAGATGGAATTCATTGCACACATGTCATTATGTATCCTTTATTTTATTATTATCACATATTGGTATGATCATTTTTTGATTAATTTTGTTTGTTTTGTAGATGAATTCTATTATAGACATGATTGACAATGATGATTCTTTTATAATCTCTCAAGCTGCAGTTGTGCTTAATGAGATGAATATAGACAATGAAGTTGAGTTAAATGAAATATTGGAAAATGGAATTGGAGATGAAGATGATGAATAAGTATCTTTTGACAACAATGTTCAAGTACCTTCAACTTTTACTAATATGAAAGGAACAAATTTGACTATTGATGACAATTGGATTGTGACACAATCAACAAGTAAGAATGATTTTACACGAGAGTTGAGACCATATTCTTTCAAGGATAAAGAGGAACTTGTTAGAGCAATCAAGATCCATTGCATTAGCACACATAGACAATTTAAGGTCATTGACTCATGCCCAACTATTTGGACTATAAGATGCAAGTTATATTTACAATTTGGTTGCAAATGGAAATTTCATGCAAGTAAACATAAATGTAGTGGATATTTTGAAATCACAACATATAAGTCCACATACTTTTTTTCTTTCTTTCTTTTCTACAAGTTAAAATTTGTTCCTGGTTTAAGTTTAAGCTAGTTGTAATGTTTTTTTTTTTGGGTAACAAATGATTTTGGAATGTTTTTTTTACCTTAAAAACATTATATATGTAATGTTGAAGTTTTTGCACCTTAAAATATATTGTATGTTTAATTTATAATTATTAAAATTTGATAGTCAAAAATTTGCATAAAAAAACACGGATATTTACAATAAAAAAGCAAAATAAAAAAATTTTAAAAAATTGTAATTAAAAAAAAAACAGTAAGAAAGGATAAATAACTTAAATAGAAACTTTTATTTAAAAAAAAAGTAACAAAAAGGTGAAATAAAATAGAAAAATAAGATATTTGAAATAAAAAAAACATTAAAAGAAAGAACTAAAAAGGAAAATAAAAAATACTAATATTGTAAATATTTTTAAAAGTATACTAAAATAGAAAATAGTTTTTTCAATCACTTGTATAAAGAAAACTCTGGCGCATTTGAAGGTAAAAATAAAAAAAGACCATTGACATCATTGTTACAAAATAAATATATATATTTTTTTTTAAAACGGCAATTACAAATATACTAATCTAAGTCATAAACTAACACCTAATTCTATCTATGTTCACAACATGACTTGAACCCTCGACCTCAAAGAGGGAGGGCACCATCTGATACCGCTGGGCTAGAAACCCTTTAGTAAATAAATAAATAAATAAAAAAGAAAAAAAATCTATAGGAAAATACACACGGAATAAACTGCATATATTCTAAAACCACACGGAATAAAGTAAACAGCATGTATTCTAATTATAAACCATACGACTGCATATATTCTAAAATCATACAGAATACAGTAAACTGCATACATTCTAGGAATCAGATTAAGGGGCCGTTTGATAGTTGCTAACTGGGTTAGAAGTTCTGACTGTGTCCATATCTGAGTTTATGCTGTTTGATTATTTATCTGACTGATCGTGGTGAATGATGAAAAATGACCGTATTACCCTTATATTGTGCTAGATAAAACAGTTTAACGCTCATCTTCATGTGATCTTTTGTTTTCATAAATGTTTTTTTTTTAACATAATTGACTTCCACATTGAAATTACTATAAAATACAGATTTGTGAAGATATTCCTCAAGTGCTGGATGCAGAAAATCCTGGATCATCTGAAAGGCCCATTGATGTATTCCTCCCAAGATTACTCCAGGTAACAGCTTGTCCTTGTTATTATAATTACTTAGTTTTTGATTTTTTTTTGAACATTTGTTCTTTTTCATTGTCTCATGATCTTAAGTGGTGCTTTTTTGTACGGTTATTTTAATCTCCACATGCCTTGCTTAGAAAGCTTGCCTTCCGTTCTGTAAATCAGTACTTTATGTTGATGCCACCGGTAAAAGTTATTAGGTCATTTAGCTTTTGACTAAATTACTTAACTTGCCACTGTAGAAATTACTAAGCAGTAGTCACTTCAACTTTTTTGCAGGTTTTGTACATGTCTATGGACAGTTACCTCCAAGGTTTGTTTGTTCTTGCAAATGATCCATCATTAGAAGTACGGAAATTGGTAAACATTTCTACTCTGCGACATCAAATCTACCTTTTTTTAGCCTATGTTCAGATGGGTTTTTACTAAATTTTTAATCATTTTAGATGTTGCCACTTTTTTTGTTCTTATATACCAAGTCTTTGTGAACTAACAACTCTTTCTTTCTTTCTTTTGATGAGAGTACTTTTCTCTGCATATTAAGATTGAACAATTATGCTTTGATCAGATGCAGTTTTGTGAAACATACATCTATTTTTAATAACGAGTTTTGTAATCATAAACTTCATGATTTTTTGGTTCTGTATTTTATTTGAATTGGAATTATGTTCTTATATTGCAGCTCTTTTGTTGTATTTGTGTTCCAGTAGACATTTCGATTTTCTTCATGTAGAATTATGGAGTCACCTCTCTCTTTCTTATCTCATATTATTCAACATGATTTTGTGCTCTGCAGCCACCTGATGCTTTTTCACTGACAGATGTAGTTTCACTAGTCATTTAATATGTTTTTTTTCCATGAAAAGAGAGATACATATTCACATATACACAAATTAAAAGGAAATCTCAATACGAAATCATATATTTTGCAGCCAAAAACATAAGGAACGAATGGGGGAAGAAATCATCAAACAATAAAAAAAAATCAAAATGAAGAAGGTTGCTTTTCTACTGTGGAGGTTATCAACGAGAACAAAAAAACAAAGAATAAACGAGAACGAAGGAAGAACCTTTTGATCGGTCCTGTTGTTGCTTCAACGACCGCTGCCTTCTCTGTGGAGGTTATCAACGTACGTAGGGTAAAAACGAATCCACATACATAACGTAGTCCCAATCCAGCGATTGAGAGGGAAGGACCGAATCAGGTTTCTTTCTTGGACTGAGTCTAAGACTTGGAATGAGTCCTTAATTGCAAAAACAAAATCAAACATCCTAATCTATCTTTTTTGGACCGGGTCCTCTGTTGGGCCCAATTAGAAGCATAAACAAACCCCTAACTAAAAACTTAAAAGCCTTTAAACTTGCATGCGGGAGCATATAACAATCTAGTCGTGTCCTTTCCCTGAAAAATATTAGAAAAACAACCGTAGGCGAAATGCTTAGTGAATAACCACAATACTCACTCATTATATCGATCATATCCAATACACATAACTCATATCATATATCATGTAATAAATCACATATATAGTAACTTCTACCCCACACTAAACTAGTTTCCCAATTAGCTTTTCCTAGATACTGTAATATAAGAACTAGTGTAACATCTCCAAAATCGAGGCAAAAATTTTCATTTTTAAATTAAGTGAAATCATTGTTTTCAGTCAAAACCCAAGTCAAAACCAATCGTTTATTAAACATTGTTCTCAAAAGTAGAAATCATATATCAGTGTGTCCTAAATCAACATCTTCAAAACCAAAAGGATGTGCACGATCATACCTTTGCTTTCCCACGGTCATCTAAAGTACCTGAAACATAAGAGTGAATCTGTAAGCCAATGTTTAGTGAGTTCCCCCAAAGTACCATGCACAACCATACAAATAACTACATACATAAAGGAGCCTTCAACCTGACTAAACCGCTGCACCGGGTGTAACGACCCAATTTTTACCAAGAAAAAATTTCATTTTAAATTAACCAAACAATTCCCATGATCCATAAATTTCCAAACCATTTGTTTTCCAATTCACAATTATTACAAATTCATTGTACTTTTGAAACATCAAAGAGTCCCAACACACAAAAAGAAAGGTAGAGTGCACACTACGTCATCACGCTTTGCCTTTGCCCTTAGGTTTTGAAGTACCTGAAACAATCAACAACCTGTAAGCAAAATGCTTAGTGAGTTTCCCAGAGCATACCACATACACACAAACCACATATCATATATCCGGTTAGCTATAAAAGCTACACACATATCACGTAAGCCATGCATACATGAAAACTGTGAGATTGCCATGGGCTACCCCACATGGTCTTTACCTAGGACTGCCATGGGCTCCCTTACATGGCCTTACATCCAATGCCATGGGCTACCCCACATGGTCTTTACCTAGGACTGCCATGGGCTACTCCACATAGTCTTACATCCAATGCCACGGGCTTCCCCCAGGGTCTTCGTACAAAACATGCAATCACATAACAAAACACAGAATGTCTAACACATATAATATAATCACATAATGGACCGGCCTTGGTGCCTTAGACCCATAGGTATGGTGAGAAACTCACCTGTCACGAATGCTGAACTGACACTTTGTGACCAAATGTACCCCACGGGATGCTCCATGCAACTGCCTAAAAATGTCATACAATATTCAGTCATTTCCCCAAGGTCCATCCCGGTTAACCACAGCCCAGATCAAGTCAACGGTCCCTGTCGACCCTAACTCGCCGAGTTTCCCGGGATAACATCTACTCGCTGAGTCATTAAGGTGACTCATCGAGTTCATGCGGTCTAAATCGATAATATAAGGTCGTTTATCGAGTTTCCTTGCTTGCCACTCGACACGTCTACGAACATCCAACCATTGGGGAAATCTCACTCGACTCGCCGAGTTGTTCCTTCAACTCGCTGAGTTCTAGGTAATCTTCGTTTGACTCACCGAGTTGTTCATCCAACTTGTCGAGTTTATAACAATATTTATCGGGCTCACCGAGTTGTTCGTCCAACTCGTCGAGTCCATGCCTACCTTCATATGACTCGCCGAGTCTCCCCATGTAACTCGCCGAGTCCTATCCGATCTCAAGCCATACAAACCCTTTTTGATCCATGCAATGCTTCCAAACTATAGATCTAGGCTCCCGAGGCATGCTTTCCACGTAAAGTTGCAAACTTTATGTGCATGCAAGGCTTTAAGGCCCTAAAATGGCAAGTCTAAGCTTGGAATGGAGTCATACACTTGAGGGAAGGCACAAGCTAAGCTCAACTGATAACTTTATGCATCTTAAGGACAAAAGGGGTTCAGATCTGAAGTTACAACTTCAGATCTTGGCTTAAACACAAAAGCCCTTTCTTAGAATCCATGCACAAGAGGGTTTTGGGTGGAAATGAGCCAAGAGACAGCTTAATACCTTCAGAAAGTGCTCCACAGAAGTAGATCTTGAATTCCCACAAGTCCCTTGCTCCTTCTAGCTTGATTCCTCAAGTGATTCCTTCACCAAATCCTTCCTTCAAGCTTTAAAACCACCAAGAGCACACTCACACTCGAATCAGGGTTTTAGGGAGGTATAGAGCTATAAAGGGGAGGCCAAGGGAGGCTAATGACCCTTTAAATAGGGTGCAAGGCCCTGGAATCTAGGGTTTCATCTGCCAACATCTACTCGTCGAGTACCATAATGGACTCGGCGAGTAGATCATTAACCTCGCGCCCCAAACCCGCTACTACTCGACGAGTAGGGAGGCCAACTCGCCGAGTAGGTTTTCAAAAATCCCTAAACCGAAATGTTAATATTAATACCTGATGATCAGGGTGTTACACCGGGCCTACAGATTATTTGGACTGCTCTTAGAGACTTCAGCATGACTAGACCACCATACCGGACCTACAACCTATATGGACCGCTCTCTAGGCCTTCAACTTGACTAGACCATCTCGTAGGCCTTCGGTCTATCCGGATCGCCCTAGGTATCTTGGTCTTCAGCATAAAACCAGACCGCCTCAATCTAACCGACCATAACACATCAACATATACCATAACAATCAATAGCCAACAAATACAGGAAGTCCTACAGATCTACCAATTTACCACATACTCAATATAACATTAATCAATATACCATGATATCAAATCTAATGAGTCAACCTTGGTGCCTTTGACTCATAAGTATAGTGAAGAAAACTCACATCTCAGTCTGAATAGATAGTTGCATAGGACACTTCTCCGAATATTAACTCTACTAGTGACCTATACATCCAATAGTGACCAATCTGAACTACAGCTCAAAATACCCAAAATACCCCTTGTCAAACTTGGTCAAAATCTGGTCAAATTCAAAAGTCGACGCAGTTATAATAGGTACGATGGCGAGAGAAAGGCTAGTAGCATCTAACAATGAGTTCAAGGATGGGAAGTTGGGTGGGGTAAGTAGGGCATAATTATTTAATAATCAAAGTAATTATAATAAGAAGAAAGTACAAAATCAAAAAAAAAGGGGCAACAATGCAATTTTCATCATCTTATACATACTTAACTGAGGCAAATTGAAGTTTTTGTCCATAAATAGGGTAATTGGAAAACTAACTATTTCCCATTTTAGTGTGGTTTCAAAAGTATTTATCATATTAGTATTATTCTAATTTAAAAACTAATATTATTGTTAAAGAAAAAAAAACACGTTATTTTGATTCCTAACCCCTTGGAACGAAGCAGCGGACATTATTGTTAAAGAAAAAAACACGTTATTTTGATTCCTAACCCCTTGGAACGAAGCAGTGAACAGGATGAAAAAAAAAATAAGACGGAAAATCATCTAGGGCTCCACTATCGCTCCTACGTGCAACCTCCTACTCCCATCGCCGACACCTACGGCCTCCTCTACCAACATGGAAACTTAAAGGTACCGAAAACTTAAAGCTTTTCCGATTCTTCCAGTTTGAATCCGATTCAAATTCTTCCACACTATTCGATTCTGATTCTCTTCGTTTCCAATTTATATGCATTGTTGATGAATTTTCTTTTGTTTAATTTTTTTTGTAGATGGATTTTATCACAGCTGTGTTTTTATCTTTTTGTAGATGGAATTGATTTCACACATGTCATTATGTTTCTTTTTTATTATTATCACATATTGGTAAGATCATTTTTTGATCATTTTTTGTTAGTTTTGTAGATGAATTCTATTATAGACATGATTGACAATGATGATTCTTCTATGATCTCTCAAGCTGCTGTTGTGACTAATGAGATGAATATAGACAATGAAGTTGAGTTAAATGAAATATTGGAATATGGAATTGGAGATGAAGATGATGAAGAAGCATCTTCTGACAACAATGTTCAAGTACCTTCAACTTTTACTAATATGGAAGGAACAAATTTGATTATTGATGACAATTAGATTGTGTCACAATTAACAAGTAATAATGATTTTACATGAGAGTTGGGAAGAAGATTCTTTCAAGGATAAAGAGGAACTTGTTAGAGCAATCAAGATGCATTGTATTATGATATATAGACAATTTAAGGTCATTGACTCGTGCCCAACTATTTGGACTATAAGATGCAAGTTATATTTAGAATTTGGTTGCAAATGGAAACTTCATACAAGTAAACATAAACGTAATGGATATTTTGAAATCACAACATATAAGTCCACATACTTTTTCTTTCTTTCTTTTCTACAAGTAAAGATTTGTTCCTGGTTCAAGTTTAAGCTAGTTGTGATGTTTTTTTTTTGTAACGAACAATGTTGGAGGGTTTTTTTTATTATTTTTATTTTAAATTTGCAGTGTTTTTATTTTTTCCTTTTTTTGTAACAAACAATTTTGTAATTTTTTTACCTTAAAAACATTATATATGTAATGTTGGAATTTTTGCACCTTAAAATATATTATATGCTTAATTTATGATTATTAAAATTTAATAGTCAAAGATTTTTAT